TATAGCTATTAATGTTGACCAAGACACTGGTTTAGGTTAGAGTGTTTGCTGCTATTTATTACTTTAATTTCATAAGGAAACATTGGACTGGTATGTATTAAACTAGTAAATGTTTGTTTATTGTATATTTGTTATTTACATTTTCATTAATACTATTGCATGTAACTTGTTATGTTTGGTTCACTCATTTCAGGTTTATGACCTGTGGTTACCTGTGGTCATTTGAACATAAATAAATAAATAAAAGAAGCCCAAGGATAAACACGAGTTATAGCTTCAGTGTGCTTCCTGTTGAGCCTTTTCGGAGGGCAAAATTTTAAAAAATCTGAACATTTGGGTCCTGCCTGTTTCCTGCGTTGCCCACACGTGACAACAAGTAAGCAACTTTTGAAGGATTTTCATCGTGATGCGAGGAAACATCGAGTTATGAGTGCTCAACCGAGCTCCATTTTTCCACTCGACACTGTCGCGCTGTTTTCGCACACTTTCGCACACACTAACAGCATATCTGCTGCTAACACAAGAATTCAACTTATTATTTCTATCATCCTCTAATTCAAGTCCTCACTCCCAGTCCTTATTCTACACTTAGTGGCCCGACACTCTCGCTCACTGTCCCACACTTGGTTATTTATTTTTGGTTTTTACTGCAATAATATAAAATGTTTTTTAATCATTATTTTATATTATTGATATATTTGTTTATATCTATATTTTTTGATTATGCAATTGAGATACAAGCAGATTGACACGTAAGTGCTGTTGAGGAACGGATTAAACTCGTGTCTTGAATCCCGACTGTATATTCTAAAAGTTGATGTTTCTTCACATATTTTGTAGCATTGTCTATGGGTTTGCAAGGGGAGTCCCCGGCCAGAAGCTAATACTGTTTGGGAGGGGTGCCTTGGAATCGAAAATGTGGGAAGCACTGGTCTATAATCCCAACACACTGCGTATATTTTTTTTCCGTCAAATAAAGGTAATGTTAAAACAAACCATAAAGTCAAAAACAGGTCACATCCGTCTTTTTTCACACATTAGGTAGTTCACAATGCAAAATGTTGAGCATCTATAGATTAGGAGTCAGCAGTAAGTCAGTGAGTTTAGCACTGAGAGGAGGACTTTAAAGTACATGCTCTATCAGCACAGCCTGAGGAAGCCTAAAAATATTTTTTGGCATTTGCGCAGAGTAGGCAATTTTACCTGGAATGAATTAGGTGCCATTTTGGGCCGCGCTGTTCTTATTCCTTGCAGGAGGTAAGCACAGCCAGTAAAAAGCAGGACTATTCCACAAATCAAGCACTTTATTGTCAGTGACCTCGTTCAGTGTCATTTAATGCTGCCATGCAGCATGCTTGCTCTCAAACTACCTTGGATCTTGAAAGTCTTCCATTTCCCCCCGTTTTTTTTTTTTTTTTTTTTTTTGTCTGTGTGTTTTGTGCCAAATTACAATGTACATTATATCAAGGTTCTCAATCTGAAAACTGGCAGCTTGCACTTACAAAATATAAAAATTGGATGACAAGAAAATACTGTGAACCAGGGAACACAGGCAGGATAAAACCAAAGTAGACACCATTGATTTTAAGTAGCAGCAATAGAAGTAAAATACTAATACATCTGCAGAAATGTCAACAATTCTGTTTTTCTGTCAATATGGGGTGCTGTATACATTATTGAGGAAAACAATGAACTTAAATGAGTGAAAAATGTAAGGTGGTCTGAATACTTGCCGTACCCTCGGTAATATAAATATAAATATATACAGCAGGTTCAGAAGTTTGCTTATTTTTCAAGGACTCTTAACACAGCTGAGAAAACAGAATGAATAGAGGGAAATGTTTCTCTTTTACAGTGCGTCTGCTACACAGGTTAGCAGCAGTTGACATATTGTGTTATATTTTAAAATCATCCTTTGATCCCACCTGAAATAAGTAGATGCCTTGATTATCTCGTTCTCTCTCTCTCTCTTTTTACCTTTACTTCCACACTAGCATGTCTTACAGCTAATCGTCAGGTTTGACCTTCTCTCTCGGTCATTTTTCATTTGTGATTTTCTTCATCTTGATAGGTAATAGTAATATGTGATACTAAAATTCTTTGATTTGTTAACATACCCATTACTTTCTGGCAATTCTTTTTGATACCAATATCGATACTACACATGGAGTCACTGCTCTCTTCTGGTCACTGGTCACATGACATGCATGGATCAGTTTAGCATAAAAAACCCTAAAAGATGTGGATGTGTCATGTGTCAATTTTTTCATTAATTGATTATTACGTTACTAACTTTATGAGAGTTAGTAAAGAGAGTCAATATTCAATTGATACTCATGTAAGTATCGATATATCAATACCACAAAATTGATGCACACATCACTGACAGGTAGCACCTCTTATGTTGCAGTAGTGTCCTATGTCTTCACTTTGCTCTCACTTTGCAAACACATCTTTGACTGTTTCGGAGCTTGTGCTTATCCGCATATACCGTAGAAAAAGCCTACGGCTATGACTGTTTATTTTAGGAGACACCTATATTCAGTCTTAAACTTTAAATTAGCTTATAGTCCTCTACTCAGCACCAACCAGCTTTATTGATCCACAAACCTTTGTACTCGAGCAGCTGCTACAGTGGAAGCTGTCGACACCAGCTCCCGTCACCCCTCTCTCCCCCCAATCATTACCAAGGGCCTAATGCAGCTCGACACTCTCACTGCCTCTGCTGTCTATGATAATCATAACCATGCAGAGTTTGCAAAAGAAAAAAGTCAACTACCAAAATTCTTTGGCTTTGATCTTTCTGCAAGATAAAAGCTGGTGTCAGTTCAAAAGTTACTCATTCGACCGTGCTTGGTTTTTCCTGGAAGGGACAAATAAAGGCTGTGTTTTTTTTCATCCTGGGTAAATTAAAGAATGCAGTTAGATTGCCAGGAAAATAAAATAATGTGCCTTCAGCCATAAAACACCAGAGACGCAGAAAAAACTCACAAGGTAGCACTAAGATAGCGGTAATGTAACAACAGGGTTCCAACTGCCACCAAAATACAACAGGCTCGAGGACCTTGGTTTTCCCTGGTATTCTTGTTTCTTTCGAAAGTCATTCTTCTTCTACTCCCAATGGACGAGACGGTGAAACCTCTGCGAATTCCTCCCCAGATGTCAGTGTATGCAGACAAATATGGCATTTTCCATTTGATGCAGAGCATGGTGTCCAGCCTGGTCGTTGATAGACCTGACGATCCGATCGCCTACCTGATCGGTTTTTTGCAAAGGAGAGCAGACATTCCTAGGATAATGGTGCTTGGTCCTCCGGCTGTCGGTAAGCGCACTGTATCCAAGAAGCTCAGTGTTGAGTTGGGTGCCGTTCACGTGACTAAAGAAAGTTTACTGCAGGAACAAACAGAGCTAAGCCAACAGGCGCGCGAGTACACGGTCGAACAGCGAGAGGTTCCTCTTGAGCTTATGGTCCAAATAATCCAGCAGAGACTTAGCGAGGCAGACTGCTTCAACAACGGCTGGGTGTTGGAAGGAATCCCCGAGACTCGTCTATTGGCTCTGAATCTTCAGCAGGTGGGGGTGATTCCTGAACATGTAGTGATGCTTCAAGCTTCCAGTGATGTGTTGATGGAGAGAAGAAAGGGGAAACTGGTGGACCCGGTGACTGGAGATGTTTACCATCAGACCTTCATCTGGCAGGTTGATGATGATGTAGTTCAGCGTCTCGCAAAAGGGTTGGGACTATCAGAAAAGCAGCATCTTGCGCAGCTTCAACTCTTCCGCTGTGAAGTCACAGGCCTCATGTCTGCCTATCAACACGTACTGAAGATCATCAACAGCGACCAACCACACGCTGATGTCTCGCAACAAGCTCTGGCTTTTGTAAAGACTCACCGTCGTTCCAGAACACCGAGAATCCTCCTGTTCGGTCCACCGGGATCAGGAAAGAGTCAGCAGGCCAGACTGCTGTCACAAAAATACAGGATTGTGGAAGTTTGTTGCGGCCATCTTTTAAGATCTGTAGCAGCCGAGGGTTCCGAACTGGGTAAAATGATCCAACCTTACCTGAATGAGGGCCAGCCAATCCCAGATAACCTTGTGCTGCAGATAATAGAGCAAAGACTCAGACTTGTTGACTGCAGCTGCAGAGGCTGGGTCATGCATGGGTTTCCACGAGATCTGCAGCAAGCCACCATGTTGAAGGAGACTCAACAGCAGCCAAACAGAGTTTTCTTTCTGGAGCTGACGGACGATGATTGTTTGGAGAGACTGAGCAAGAGAGCAACAGACCCAGTAACCGGAGAGAGGTATCACGCTGTTACTCGACCTGCTCCAAGCACTTTGATTCGGAATAGACTGATGACCCGACCAGATGACAGCGAAGAAAGTGTTAAGCGAGCGCTGGCGGAATACAGGACACACACAGCTGCTCTGCAGTCTGTGTTTCCAGATGCAGTTCGTGTAGATGCTGAACAGGATCCACATTCTGTGTTTGAGGCACTGGAAAGCAGATTAAATACCGTGTAATAAGCAGATCCACCTGGACTCCACTCGAAGGGTGACAAGGATCACCCGGGTGTTTCTAAACTTCTGTGTTTTGAATTTTTGTTTTATATGAAGTAACAGGCTAGGTTGGCTCTGATGTTCTTGCAACATTTGAGACTCACAATGTCACTCACATGCAGGCTCAGATGACATTAAGTGAGAAACAAGGATTTATTTTGCTGTGGGAGACAAAGGGGAAGGAGAGGGTCCAATAATGAGAAGAAGGAGTTACAGAGTGTAGGCTGTCCAGATCTGGCGGGTGGAGAGCAGGCAAGCAGGTAGCAGGAGGTGTACCTGAGCACAAGAAGATCGTTCATTAAAGATTATTTCCTAAATCAACAGGAATCACAAAGAACAATAGTTAAAGTCAATCGGGACGCTAGCTACCACGGTGGCTGAACAAACGATCTGAAGATGAGTGGGAGAAAGGCCAGGGTTTTTCTTACCCAGAGTGATGGGTTGATTGAAGGCAGGTGCTGAGGAACGGCATGTGTGCTTCGGTGATTAACCAGGCAGAGTCAGGGAAATGTGCCACGCCCACCACACAGACAGAGACAAGTGCACAACACAAGAATAGGGAAAACAAAAGGAAACACAGAGAAACACAGGGAACGACAGTCACGACAAAAAGAAATGGGATAACACAAGACAAATGATGAAAGACAGCAACTGATTTAGAGTGAACAAATTATTCTACGACGTTCAGATTTGTTACATATATCACGCAGGCACAATGAAAGGAAAGTGAGCCTGGAGATAAGGAAACAAACAAAGAAGCAAGGCAGAAACGAAGGGAGACCTAACCTTGTTTTAAATCTCGTTAAAAAAATGAATAAATAAATAGAAAACCTTAATTTTTGGATTATTCAGAAAATACCTATTGTGGTTGTGGAGTCCCATGATTCAACAAGTTTAAACATCAAGTTCCAGACAGGGGCACTGTTGAGTGCCTTTACTGTGACCCCATGTTAGCCAACCTTAAGCAAGGTACATGTCATGGTTGTAAATGGATGGTACCATCCATGTTATTGTAGTATTTTAGTGGATCCAAAATTGGCAGTTACACCAATATCTGTTGACAAAAATAAGCATGATCCTGTTTACTCATTAAAACAAGTTTGTGGTAAGAATTAGTGAGAACTGCACATTTTGCACGTTGAATGACGGAAGAAGAACTTCTGGGTAGTCCCTTAACTAACTCTTTTATGTTTGATACCACTTCTACAACTTGGAGCATCTGCTGATGCTGTTATCAATCGAATATGTGCTCTAGTTGTTTTTTTGGTTTTTTTTAGATATTTGATCCTGAAATTCTGATCAATATTAGACCAATACCCATCTATAGTATCAGATTGCACCTTCCCTGCCCTCTACCCAGGGTAACTACAGCTAGCTGTATTGCACCCTGTTACAACTGATGCTCATATTATGTTGTGTTCCTAGCAATTCTTTAAATATAAAAAAATGAACTATTTGAACATCCAAAGACAATGTTTACTTAACTTTACTTAAGCTCATAATTATCAATATATAAATAAATACATACAAATGTAGCATCTGTGCGTGTCACTGCTGTCAGTGCTGTAAACATGTGAAACACAACAAAGAGAGGAGGTAGAGGAAGAATGTGGTAAGATGTAAACAGCCAGTGAGGATGTAGTGGGAATACAAGGTTACGTGCTCTTTGTGTCATGTATTGAATACTGAATCAGAAAGTTGGTCCAAATGGGTTGCAGTTCTCAATCCTTTGTTGATTCTCTGAACCACACTGACTCCATTACAGATTTCAACAATAGTCCCTTTGATATTGTTGGTTTTTGTCCCATAGAAAAATGCTAATGATGTCCTTGCTGAGCTTCTGTAGGTAGAAAGAGATATGTTAATAATATTAGTAATGATAACTTAAGCTTTGTTGTAAGCAAACATATTATTAAACACAAAATACCAATGCTGCAAATTAAAGTATGTGCTGACTCTGTTATAAGTCTGATACCTTCTTTTCTCCTCCAGGATGCTGCGGGCTGATGCTGTGTACTTTTTAAAGGCATGTTTAGTTGAGCAGTTGGTACTGGGAATCTGAACAGACTAGATATAGTTTTTTTTTTCTTTATGATGGACCCTGAATTTTATGACCAATATTGGACTGATACAGATCCTGAGTATTGATTGAACCATCTCTAAATACGATTTAAAAACATTTGCACATACATATAATAATGTTAAGGAGACAAATTATATATCATATATATATATATTATTATTATTATATTATTATTAGACTCGATGATTGTAGGTTTTACTTGAGGGTAGCAAGCACGCAAACACCTCCAATGAGTGTGTAGGTGAAGAGACACTTTTTTTTATATATAGACATTTTTAATTTTATTCCTGAGAATCAATCATGGAGGATTGTTATGTTATTTAAAAGCCATAACTATCCACAGCGAATGCTATTCCTTTTTATTGAAAGTGCCGAAAAGACAGACAACAAGCTCACACATGGTCTGACTTTTTTGTTAACAGGCCCTAAAACAAAAGCAAAAAAAGTCTACGGAGAGACATCAAAATGAAACACAGCTGACGGTTACAGCTCTCCGCAGACCATTACCTGACAAACTTTATGCTCCATAGGTCTCCAGTTGAGGCTGTGAGGTGTGTTTTTTTTTCTGTACATAATTTCTTTTGTTTACACATAAGTCATCTCTATAAATTTCAACTTTGCATCAGAATGGATGAAAAGCAACCGGGCCATTTAAATTCTCTTCTCATTATAGTCTGGGAGACACAGATAGAGAGGTCCAATTTACATTTAGATTGTTTCAGCAGAAGTAAATTAATCAGCATTGCAGCCTGGCCAAATGACTTGTACAGAATACCTATAAGAATGACACATGCCCATATTTGTATACCAATAGGTATTGTCAGTGTGCTATGTATAAATTTAAACCTTTGGCAGCAAAAAAAGGTGTATTTCTTTTTAGGATTTCTGAGCAGAAATAGCAATTTACTGAGTCAGCTTAGAAACACTGCTCTGCTCTGTAGACACCATTATTACCAGCGGTCTCAAACCCCTGGCTCGGAGGTCACTTCTAGCTCATGAATCTCCCACAATACGTCCAACAGCTACATTTTATTGCTACAACGATTTTATTTTGCCTTTGAGGAACTTTTTAATATTTATTTTTATTTGTTTTTGTGTCATTAATCATTAGTTGTACTCATTTGCACCATTATAATATACAGTTTGGTTCAGGATAAAGCAAAACAAATTAAAAAAATTCTAAATTATAATGAGTTTTTAACTGACGTTCAATGGCACCCAAGTGAAATGAGTTTGGGACCCCGAGCTATTGTGTTTTTGTATTTAGTCATGTTTATTTAGCAAATACTGGCTTATTTAATAATAATTTTGTTTATTTATCCACACAATTTAAAATAAGTGGTATGAACTTCACATCATGTGAAGGTCAAATATTTCAGCAACGCTTCGGAGAAGGGGGCGAGGGGTGACGGTGAGGATAATCCTGGCAGGCAGGTGCAAACAAAGACTCAGACTCTAGTGACTCTGGGCAACACGAGGGAGCGAGAGCACCAGGAAAGTCAGGTGAACGGAGCAGTAATGGAAGTGACAGTGCAGAGCTGAACAGACGGCCTGTCAGAGACTGGGAGCTCAGAGACAGTACACAAGAGAGGGCAGGATAGGAGGACACAGAGTTGACAGAAACAGGCGAGTCACCTGGATTGTAGTGTATGATGTAACTTTATATAGTTGGCCGACAGACAAGGGGAGATACTGAGAGATGCTACTATGCAACATGAGCCAATCGGCGTGAGGAACAGAAGAGCATGCTCAATTAGCCAATAGTACACAGAGTACGCATTGTATTAGCCAATAGTATGCTGTGTACGATCTCACCAAGGTAAACAAAGCTACCAGCGATCATTCGCAAATGGGCTTATCTCAATTTAAAAACTAGACATTTATCCACATTTATAAAGCCAACATTTTCGTATGTATAATTATTTTATGTCTTTATTCGTTGCTATATTTCGCGATATAGCAAAGATCAGATTAAAAAAATTGATGTATTGAGGGAGGGAAAGGAGAAGAGTGATGTACAGTAGAGAGGGAACACTATTATAAAAAAAAGCAGCAACGATGCAACTCATTTACCAGCAGACTTATGTGAAAATGTTGTCTTTGGCATTGGGCCCTCACAAAAGTTTGTGAGTTGTTTCACTTTTGTAAGTAGAATTATTTTTGACACATAGCAACACATTCACAGATATTGCGCTACATCTCCATCGAAAAATATGTAAAAACTGTAATTCCAACTAAACTGTAAAAAACTGTTAAAGAAAGAAAAATTATAAAGCAGTGCAATTTCCTTTCTATGGAACAATCAAAGCTAAATACAATATCGAAACTGAAATATCCCTATGCAATAGTTCTTCTGTGCAAACTAAGGGACCCTGCCCCCCACTTTGGGAACCACCCAGGGTTGCCTAATAAGAAATCAGTAGTATTTGTCTCTTATTATGTCATTTTTATCTGTAGCCTTTCAAGTTCCTTTTTATTCTTCTTTTTTCACAAGCCAACCATGAAAAAAAAATGTATGTGCTATAACAAAGCGCATACACCGCTAATACTACAAATCCTGCCAGTATATAGGGGATATATACTGGGAGGCCAATTCTGGTACACATTTGATATGATTTTGCGGGCCAAATATAATTACACTGTGAGCCAGAGTTTTACACGTGTTGCTTATCACAAGTATGCTGCTCTCAGTTTAACAGATATGTCTAATAGAAGGCATTTCAATTTGTTTGAGTCCAATCTGGATTATGTAGCAACATCTTGCAAAAGCAATACATTTTACTTTTAATCACAGACGGGCTAATTAATCAGAGAATAAATGTATGACTCAGGTCATCCCTGTCCAGCTGGGAGATCTTAAATCTCTACAATTTATTAGCCTAGCATTAAAATTTTAGTGATAGTTAAAATTTAATGTTAGACAATATATTTTAATTTCAGGCTTTTTTTGGTTTGTTTTTTCACAGTTTACTTAAAAACATATATTTTAATACAAACGAGTAGCTGAATTCATCTTATGGAAAGAGAGGTGATTACACGATACGCCACAGCTAACTGCTATCTGACAACACATATGAAAAAAAAGAAAATGTAGCGTAGTCCAATGTATGACATGCAACCGGCAAATGTAAACAAAGCTGTCCTCTGCGTACAGTGAGATGTCATAATGTATTCCGTTCTACTATTTCATGTGCAAAATTTGTGTTACTGATGTCAGAATGATGGAACAAGACTTTCCTAATAAATTTATGGGAGATGGCGACATAACCATGAAACATAGGTCGATTTCGTGAACTGAGGACCTGCATGTGAGGAATTGATGTTGTCAGTCGCACCGGGGACATCTTATCAAATGTACCCTTAATCAAAATACTCAGGTCCAATACTAGTACATTTAACTATAATAATTTGGTAAATGCAGTTATTATACCATTGTTTTAGTCACATGGTAATACTTTGAGCTAGGAAAAGGTTACACCTTTCCAGTTAGTTTCTAACTAACAATTTAAGCACAGAGAAATTCATCAAGCAAGACTTTTAGACCGTAAAATGTGCGCAACAAATGTACAACCATGTTTCATTCTTTTATTTTCTCTGTTGCTTTCTGCAGCCTTGAGCTCATGCACGTATGGTAAGCATGACTAAAAAAAACCCAAATGCTGTAATAAACGATAAAGAAATTGTCGTATTTATTTGAAATACATCCGCGGTTATGTAGCCACTAAGCTCGGACTTGTGTAAAGTTTCAGGAGGAAATTATATCTGCGGAGACACTTTTACGAACACAACGATACATCACCGACCGACCTTCAGGTTGTATGTGTCAAAGAATACGATTAATGTGCTCACATTTTTCTCTTTTTATAAAAAAATCTGACTTTAAATCCGAAAAATAACACCTTCAAGTTAGAAATGTGGAGTAAATCAAGATCCGTAAGCACATCCAAAAGGTAAATTATTCATCAGCGCCGATACATTTTTTATTTCCTGGCTCATCATATTTCATCCTTTCTTTGATGATCTGAGGACCTCCTTGGCAGATAGGAAGCAGACAGAAAACCTTTATCTCCCAGACAAATTAGATGTGTTGTTTGTTTGTCAAAAAAACAAAACAAAACACTGCATTGTTCAGATTCAACGTATAGGTTTTCTGGTCACATTGAGGATACAATTTCTTTTTTAATTTTGGGAGTAGAGTAATGCGATAATGAGAATAGAATTGAGCATTTATAGGAATAAAGACTTAAGTTTAGATCAGGGGTTCCCAATCCCTGGTCTGGGGAACATCATCTACAACAGGGGTGTCAAACTCATTTTCACCAGGGGGTCACATCAGCAATACAGTTCCCCTTGAAGGGTTGGTTTCAACCTTAAGACTATACAGCTTTAACTAATCCACAATGTAATAATATATATTTCTGCAATTGATTATTATTTATTAAAGTTACAAAAATTGTACATTGCTTTTTTGTATAATAAAAAAAAGGAAATGACTTGGTGGGTCACATTAAGCTCGTGGGCCTTGAGTTTGACACATAATCTACACTGTAGACCATCCATATTGAATAAACTCAGGCATTAAATCATCATCAAAACTAGCCATTCATTTCTGATTAGAGGACCAAAATTGTTGGTGTCAATTAATCAAAGACAACACACATTAATCTCTAACAGCAACTTTATGAACTACAGACTACAGATAGACTGAACTTTATGGAAATAAAAGCATGTGAAATTAGTGAATTGAATTGAAATTGAAAAAAAAAAGTTCTTCTCTCCCTATGTTTTTACAAAGGATGCACATCCATATGCTCATGGACAGCATTGGTGTTTGTTCCAAACACCTGGGGGCAGAGGCTCCAGCCAGCATTGTAATAAGCATC